CTTGTGGAAATAAATGGATTAGTCCATCAAATTGCTCATCAAAATTTAGCTGTGTATACCAAATTTCATTCATTTATCACAACGCGATTGAGAGATATTGCAAAAAAATGATTTCCATTCCTCCCTCTTCAATGGGTCCCTGTGCCCTTAGGAAGCATTTCCGGACCCATGTTCATATGAACTTTTTTATTTAGTTTTGAACATAGAATCGGCCTGTTCAGGGTTGGCAGCTAATTATGAGACACCCTGTATTTGACTCATTTGTACAACATATATCAAGCTTGTCCTGTAATGTCTTCTTTTCTGTCAAATTAGGACGATTAGATGACAGAAATGTCAACTTGTCTAACTGAGAACCAAAAAAAAAACTCGTCACTAAGGGCATAGAAAAACATTGGTTAAAAGAAAATAAACAATCTTTCCCAATCGCTACTAGTAGATCCAACTTTAAGATCGGACAGCCTTTTGTTCCGCCTTGTTTACGGTCGATCGCCTGAGACACCGCGAAGTCCAAGAAAGAACCTGAACCAAAGCAGCAGCATTCGTCTGGGGATACAAAAAGCGGCACACATGTCTCTAAGCTCCAAGATCGAAAGCACAGCAGCAATAAGACACCGTTGCTCCCCACATGCTTACAGGCGAAGTGAATGATCTGATATCACCGCGTTCGGCAGCGGGTTCACTGCAGTCGTTCTGACGGCGCGAGACGGTGTAATCGCGTTAGTCGCTTGATCGCTGATCGTCATCTGTTCCGTTCTGTTGTGGTTTTATGTGTGCAAGTGTCAAAGTTATTGTTGGCGAGTTGGTTGCTTCGCTGCTCCTGCAACATGTTGGTTTTCGAACAGGTAGGAAGGAAGCTTTTCATAATTACGCTTTTGCTCAGCTTTTCAAATATATTTTTGGATTTTTTTTTTAATTCCTTTTTAAATTTATCGTACCACTGACAACTTTTCGAATATTCGAAACGAGTTATTAGAATAAAATACCACGAAATTTGAAACTGTATACTGTAATTAAATTTTTCTAGTTCTATTTTTCATTTTGTTAATGAACTTGAAATTGGAATTTGTTGTTAACTGACAGCTTTTCCAGATTCAAAACCATTTTAAAAAGTCAAAAGATAAAATGTGATAAAATCTGAAACTACATACTTCAACTGAATTTGTGCTGTTGCTGATGAATTCGAAATTAGAATTTGAATTTGTGTTTATGACTGACAGCTTTTCCAGAATTCTAGAAACAGTTTTAAAAAATCGAAGAAAAATTTTTATGACAACTGAGTGTGTTAAAAAATTTAATTCCCTTCATTTAATTCGATACTTTTATGCTGGTGGATATGTTTCTGGTGGAAGTAAGTTTCTATTTTTAACAGAATACGCTATTTTAGTGTTTGTATTTATATAACGATCGTATTGACGTTTTCTTACATTGCACTATGTAAAATTGATGTTTCTAGTTTCGACGAAATCATCTGTTGCTTGCAGATCGCAGTTTTATAATATGTGGAAGCGTTTGAACAAACGTAACTATTATTTTATTGACATTTATGAAAAAAAATTGGATTTTTAAAAAATATTTTATTATTACGGTAATTATAGACTAGGATTATGTGGAATTTAATAACACTTACAGCAAATAATACTACTTAATTTCAATTAGAATAAATTCGAGGACGTATAAGTTAATAAGAACAAACTATTATTTCCTACGTTTTGTTTAGTTATTAATCATCGTCAGGTGTCCAGTCCCTACCCAATTGATATTTTCCTGTGTTTTTTATAATGTTTATTAACAACAACAAAATATTTTTATTTGAGAACAAGTGCTATCTATAAATAAAAAAAAAATGATGATCTGATACGCGTAATCTACCATTTTTTTTAAGATGAAAGTATCGATTTTATTTTTATTTCCAATTCAAACATACAAAATTTAAACTTACACTTTGTGTATGTGTATCTGATAAAAATTAATTGTTTGTTTTATTCGTCCTATTTGTTATTATTGTAAGTGCTTATCGTATCATTTAATTCGACAAAACAGTATCAATTTAACTGCGCCAACTTCATTGATATTTGGACTCTATAGTAGCCTTGATAATTATTTTTAAAGAACTGTGTAGTTAATTATGTTTGTATTAGTCTATTTGCGGCGGAATTTTCCTTTCTTAATGATCCCTTTCAAATATTGTGTCTGGTATATTAATTTACAAGACATACATTGAAGATATCCCCTGTCTTAAACAGAAACTTGAAAACCAAAATATTTCTTATTTACTCAATGAAACGTGGTAGGTTTTGTTATACCTATTGGTTGCTATGGTACGTTGTTTATTATCAATTATTTAATAAACAGTTCTATCTGAATTTGGTAAAAATGCAAGAAAGTAATTATGTTCCTGTGGCTGTTTTTGAAGAAGCTCAAGAAGCAATTTTCCATTTATTGCCAGCGAAATTCAGCGAACAATACGAAAAAGTGTTCGTCGAATTTAACGAATCGAGGGAAAAACGGAGAATAATGACAATAAATGACGAAGTCATGCTATCGTATTTTTTAAATTTGAAGAAAAAATATGTAACTTCATCTATGTGGTCGAGGTATTCGATGTTGAAGGCTACTATAAAGGTCTACAAAAATATAGATATTGGAAAATATAACAAGCTTACTGCTTATTTGAAGAGTGAATCGAGAGGATATCAAACAAAAAAGCTGCAATATTGGAAAGAGCACATATTGAAGAATTTTTTACTGGGCCGTCCGATAAAGAATATTTAATTATTAAGGTAATATCTCTTTACCTTTTGTTAGGTATATAGTGAACTTTGAATTATTTTAGGTTGCAGTAATAATAGGGGTTTCTGGTGCATGTCGATCCTGCGAATTGACAAATTTGAAAATTAGTGACGTACAGGACACAGGCAGTTCCCTACTTGTTTCAATACCTGACACTAAGACGGGCATTTCAAGAAAATTTACAATTCTAGAAGAAGGATTTTGCGTGAATGCTGTTGAAATACGCAGAAAATATATTCCTCTGTCCCCAATTTGCCTAACACAAGACAGATTCTTTTTAAGATACATCAGTCAAAATTATACTTTTCAGCCTGTTGGAATCAACACATTGACTCAATAGTTGCTTCATTCCTGAATATCGCAAATCCAGAAGCATATACTAGCCATTGTATGAGGCGCACTTCAACTTTATTGGCCAATAAAAGTGCTGATCTTACAACCATCAAACGGCATGGTAGATGGAAGAGCCCCTCTGTAGCAGAAAGTTATGTTAAAGAATCTATATCTAACAAACTTTATATTGCAAAGAAAATCCACGGAAAATATATGTTCCTTACAAGAAGAGACATCCGTAACTTGTACAAATTCTTCACAAACTACAGCAAATGCTATGCGTTCCGAAAATGATTGCAACAATGCTACAAGGGTTGTTATTAACGGAAAGTAAGTTAAATGTGATAAAACAAAAAAACGGATAAATTAAATTTGATTTATTATGTTTATTATTTTTTCATTATTCTACTAGTGAAATAAAGTTACTTGATTCCACTAGTGGATAAAGTACCACTTTAGACGGTTCATATGTGTGAATAAAAGTCCGATTATAAGGTGATTGTGGATAAAATATATTTTCCTGCAACTGTTGCTGTTTGAAATAATTTTATCACTATCAGCTGCTTACACGTGTCTACACTATTACATTCGCTGTTTAACTTCTCAGAACAAGACGAGATTGTATAAACAATAACCAACTAACAGAACTTGATAACTTCATTACAACAAATGCATTTTATCGCACAATTAAATTGCTATAGATGAGTAAACATCATTTGTACAGCATTGAACGATACTGTTCCTGCCATATATTACCGATAAGTAATTTACTGTATTGTTTATTGAAGCAGGAATTCGTAATGTCCTCTAATGCGAGTATCTGTCACATCCTGTGTATGCTGACGAGGCTTAGATATCGCGAAACGTTCTAGACTTATCTAAAGTTGTATACGACTCGCAAAAATGCACGTTATACTCCCACAGTTACGTTATTTTAAAACAAAGCTCTATTTTTATTTTATTTACATATTTTAATAACCCTCTTAATATTCGCGCACATGCCAGTAATTCCGAGTTCGGAATCGTCGATAATGGGGACGATTTTTATCACTCTAGCCGCCAATAAAAGGCTGTAAAATTTCCAAACGGTCCGCTTAGGAACTTAATGGCATTGTATAACGTAACAATGTTGTTACGGAGTTATTGGCATAAGTAAGTTACTTAAATTAGACAAGGACAATCAACTGGGTACGAAAATAGTCGGTAATTTTAGAAGCTCTATTCAAACAAGACCCATGCCATGCGAACATCTTCACACAATGCTCGGGAAAATTAAGATTAATTTTAGTTGAGATGTGTGACATAAGAACTGGAGAATTTGTTATTTAAATCTTAGCATGTACCTGTTTCCTTGACTGTAATCCTTCAGTTATTAGCTCTGTCGCGTAGGTTGATCATTTATATGTGTTATAGGTACATGTTATTGCTATAGAAATAGAATTATTCAAGAAAGTTAAAGAGTAAAGTCTGCAAAAGGAACTCGTTTCTAGAATTTTTTAAACGAAAAACTCAGTGAAAACTAAAATTTGAATTATTTTTCCCCAATTCTTGGATTGCTTCATCGATCTTTCTTTTACTAGACCAACATTCTAGAGTACTAGTCTTCCTGTTACTAAAATTCTAGGACAATTCGGTTGGTATTTATAGATGTACCTTCTGATATAGTCTTCTGTAAGATGTTCTCACATGTGACCTCCCTTAACATAGTAGCACTAAGTCAAATGCAGTAAATGTTGCAATAGAAACTTGGCAATAGCGCACGAGTATGCTGTGTTTGTTGTTTGCAAGTTGGCAGTCCTTGACATGTATGTGTACCTATGCATTATGCTATGTAATAGCTCGCACAACTGATTGTTTCAACCTATAAAGTGTAGGATGAAGAACAAAGTAGATAGAAAGGAAAATTTGTGACCAAAAGAAAATATGCACTGCTTGAGAATTAGAACAGAAAATAGCAAAAGCAGGAAAAAAAGCTGTTAAAGAGAAGATTGTGGAACCAGAACCTCAGTACACCATTCGAGATCATCAACTAATCGACACTGAGTACATAGCACAAAGCATACACAGCTGCAAAGAACTTTTACGTATTTTAGATTATCTACAAACTGTGATGACGAAGTGATTCGCGTGGAAAAGTTTAAATATGATATAGTTACATGCATAAGTAGCATACTACTATGATGCAATTCTGTAGATGCAAATGTTTCTTATGAGACAAGGGTTTGAAGCTATTGAATTTATAAAACATTATACAATTTGGTATATAGATAGTATTATTCTGCGTTACGATGTTATTGCAACCAAAAATATTCTTAAAAATATACTGACATTATTAAGATGTTAGTTTTAAAATAAAAAGTGATATTAAAAATGTTATAATTTGTCAAAATGCGTAAGATTGTTGACGAGAAGAAATAAAAAAAAGATTTCAAAAAACATACTTCATTTGAAAATTTCCATTTTATTTTATTATCCAAACTGAATTACACAAATAAACACAAGTTGAATGTAATCCATTTCAAATGACAAATTTGTGTATCGAAAAGTTTATTTAAATTTCCCGCCACCTATCCTCATTCATACTGCATAGCGCTGTTGCCGTTACGCGTTTATAACTTGGCGGGCGACAAGTCGCAACTTGTCTATATTTTTTTCGTCTTGCCATTTGCATTTTTTCACCAATAATTCAATTGTAAGGGTATGTATCATAGCATTTCCT